TCATAATATTTTTGACTAAGCACCCAACACCATGATTATCACAGTGGACCAGAAACTGAGGGACTATGGGCTGGCCACAGATTCACTCTTCGCTTCTGACCTTGACCAAGCAAAAAAGGCAAAAGGCTAGGTGACATTGAGGATTGTACTCAAGCTAGCACCCTTTCCCCAAATAACAGAACCATAATAGTGAAAGATTGCTGACAACCTGCAAGTTATCTATATACTCTGATCTTCTCCAAGCTGAAAGAGGATTTCTTCAGAGCCAAACTATGATTACATTGGAACTATTACAAGGTTGATTTACCAAAACCCCATTAATAGAATGTACCTGTCCTTGTGATTCTGAAGACAAAAACGCTATCCAATGTGTGCTTTTCCACTGTAATTCTTATATCACTCTGCATAGGGGTAATATGTTCTGCCAAGAAGGACTGAAGAATATGTCAATCTTCTTAGATTTCTACTATATTAATACCCACATAATAGCCAAATTCTGTGTGACTGCAGTGAAAATGTAGGGACTCTTGGTGCAAATGTGATAAATGTTCCAGCCAGAACTATTTTATTAATTGTACAATTTTATTAATATTGATGATATTGTCCATTCAGTCATGTCCGACTCTTGGTGATTCTGTGGACCAGGTCTCCTCCCATTTACTGATCTTGGACTACTTGCTTGAGTTTTTCTATGCTCTGGCTGGTGTCAGCTATGATGGTTTATTAATATTAATATAACTAATTTTATCTCTGTTTTAATAATTATATACTGGTAAAACTCTTGTGTCTATAACCTTTAACTGGGTGAAACAGTGCACCACAGGGCAAAACTTTTTCAACCAAGGTTTGAGTTAACTTGCCAAATGCATCCAAAATCTCAAGCCCGTGACCCCTGTGGAACTGGAATTTGGAAATTTTATCTAACATTTTATGACATAAAAATATGATTTTTGTTACATCATACAAAATGTCATAAAACATTTCCTGTGGTCACCTCTTGAAGTTTGATTGTGCTATGTGGTTCAAGATGGGTTACCTAAGTTTCAAGGCAACTATATTATATCTTTATATTACTAAAATTCTGATTTCCTTTTTTTAACTGGGTGAATATTATAGAACAATATTTTTTAAACCAAAGTTCCTAAAATGGGTTAACTTACAGAATGCATCCAAACTGTGAGACCTATGATTTTTGTGGAATTGAAATTCGATAAATTGTATATAACATTTTATGACATTAAAATTATCATAAAACATTCTATGACATAATACACAATGTCATAAATCGTTTCCTATCCTGCTGTTTGACTATGCTATAGAGTTCAACATGGATTGTTTTCAAGGAAAGATACAGAATATATTTCTGAATGTATTCCAACTTTTCCAGTGAAAGCAGTACATTAGAAGCTCTTTCATTGTTCAAGGCTTTGAGGAATCTGGTGAGGAAATATCTCTGAAAGGAAGTCATAATGGGTCATAGGTTGCCTAGTATACTATTAAAGCTGTCATATCTGTTACTTTAACTGGACAAAATGGTGCATCATAGAGCAAAACCTTTTCAACCAAAATGGGCTAGCTTATATAATGTATCCAAAATCCAGAACCCCATGAGTCCCGTGAAATTGAAATTAGGTAAAATTTATAAAATATGTTATGAAAATGCAAAATGTCATAAAATATGGCCTGTGGTCAACTACTGATGTTTGACGGTACTGAACAGTTCAAAATGGGCTATTTTTAAGGCAGATAGCTATGACTATCTCCCTGAATTTTTAAGAATTTTACCAGTGTATTAGAAGTTCTGCCATTGTTGAAAGCATCTAGGAATCTGGTAAGGAGTTATTTCTGAAATAATGAGCCAAGGGGTTACTGGTTATCTTAGTAATTTATTACATTTGTATGCTGATCAATATTCAATGGGTGGCTCACAACAATGAAGGAAATTACAATAAATCAATAAATAATAAATCAGTCTGCTGGTGGCTCAGCAGACTGATAGCATTGTGATTAACACCAGCTGTCTGCAATTACTGTAAGTTCGAATCTCACCAGGCTCAAGGTTGACTCAGCCTTCCATCCTTTCTAAGGTAGGTAAATTGAGGACCCAGTTTGTGGGGGCAATAAGCTTACTTTGTATAAATATACAAAAGTATGAAGGCTATTTCTTAATGCATTGTAAGCCGCCCTGAGTCTCCGGAGAAGGGTGGCATATAAATCAAATTTTTTTAAAAAAATGGAAAGTGAAATAAAGTGAGGGATCTCATTTTCTCCTTGCCAAAAGCCTGGGTGAAAAGCCTTCCAAAGAGCAGAATGAATATGAGTGGTGGAGTTTATTCAAGAAAGCAGACACCACAGAGAAGGCACACTTCCAGGGTCCCAATAGATAATATTGTTTAATTGAAGAAATCTGGAGCGTGTCAATCTTGCAGGAGCAAAGTGGCTAGGCAAACACTATGTCGTTTTAATTCCATTTAGTACAGGTAGTCCTTGACTTACAACAGTTCACTTAGGGACTGTTCAAAGTTACAACAGTACTGAAAAAAGTGATCTATGACCAGTTTTCATACTTATGATGGTGTTACTAATTTAACAATGACCTTAATTCATTTAACATACGTAGCACGAAAAGTCATAAAATGGGGCAAAACTCACCTAACAATTTTTTCACTTGGCAACATAAGTTTTGGGCTTTAGTTGTGACGGTAAGTTAAGGACTACCTATATTATCTAAACCCAGTCGGGCTTCAGGTCACGATACAGCACAGAAACGGCATTGGTCGCATTGGTGGATGATCTCTGGAGGGCTCGGGACAGAGGTTGCTCCTCTATCCTGGTCCTATTGGATCTCTCAGCGGCTTTTGATACCATCGACCATGGTATCTTACTGCACCGGCTGGAGAGGTTAGGAATAGGGGGCACCGTGCTTCGGTGGTTCTCCTCCTTCCTCTCTGACCGTTCGCAGTTTGTGTTGGCAGGGGGGCAGAGGTCGACCTCGAGGCACCTTATTTGTGGGGTGCCGCAAGGGTCAGTCCTCTCACCCCTTCTGTTCAACATTTATGTAAAACCGCTAGGTGAGATCATCCGTGGTTTTGGGGTGAGTGTTCATCAGTATGCTGATGACACACAGCTATACATCTCCACCCCAGACCACCCCAATGATGCCCTTGCTGTGATGTCCCGTTGCCTGGAGGTCGTGCGGATCTGGATGGGGAGAAACAAGCTCAGAGTCAACCCCTCCAAGACCGAGTGGCTGTGGCTTCCGGTGTCCCGGTATAGTCAGCTGGTACCATCACTGACAATAGGGGATGAGATCTTGCTCCCCACAGAGAGGGCCCGCAACTTGGGTGTCCTCCTGGATTCACGGTTATCTTTAGAAGATCATTTGACGGCCGTGGCCAGGGGTGCCTTTTATCAGGTTCGCCTGATCCGCCAGTTGCGTCCCTTTCTGGATCGGGACACCTTGCGCACGGTCACTCATGCCCTAGTTACCTCCCGTATGGACTACTGTAATGCTCTCTACATGGGGCTCCCCTTGAAAAGCACCCGGAGGCTCCAACTGGTCCAGAACGTAGCCGCGCGGGTGATTATGGGCGCAGCTCGTTACGCCCATGTAACACCTCTCCTACGCGAGCTGCACTGGCTCCCGGTGGTCTTCCGGGTGCAATTCAAGGTGTTAGTTATCACCTTTAAAGCGCTCCATAGCTTAGGACCTGGGTACCTACGAGACCGTCTTTTGCCACCAATAGCCTCCCACCGACCAGTTCGTTCTCACAGGGAGGGACTACTCAGGGTACCGTCAGTCAAATTATGTCGACTGGCGACTCCCAGGGGGAGGGCCTTCTCTGTGGGGGCTCCAACCCTTTGGAATGAACTGCCCCCTGAGATACGAAATATCCCTGATCTCCGTGCTTTCCGCCATGCCCTCAAGACCCTGATGTTCCAACAGGCAGGGCTAAACATACAAACATGCGAATGATTTTTTAAATGTTATCTAATTCTGGGTTTTATTTAATTGACCAAACTAAGTAACAATTTTAATTAGCAATTTTTATGTTTGTGTGTCTATATTTTTCTTGACTGTACACCGCCTTGAGTCCTACGGGAGAAAGGCGGTATAGAAATATAATAAATAAATAAATAAATAAATAAATAAATAAATAAATAATCAATCTTTTGATCTGTCAGAGTTTGATTTGAATTCATCAAGATAAGATGAGCCTTAAAATATGAAAATGAAATATGGTAGAGATTTTTACAATACAAGAATTGTAGAACTATGTGAAATATAACATAGATGTATGATTATTGGATAGATTCAGGAGGTGGAAATGAATGTCATAAATAAAAATTAACTCAAACTTTAGAATACTTTGAATGATAATGAGGGAAGAAATAGTCATATTCAAACGAATGATTAATGATGATAACAATATATAGATACATATTAGGTCGATGATATGAGAATCTAGTAAACCGTAAATTGTAAGCTGTGAAATGTGGTGAATGATGCACAAAAGACCTGTAACCAACCACAGGCAATTGAAGATGGTTTTATGTATGTTTGTTTAAAAAATAAGATAAGATGAGCCTAAAGTTGGAAAGCGGGGAGAGAGAATTCGTGCAAATTCTCAAGAATCGGAGGAAAGGGTGGGGATCGGAAGCGACAGAATCAAAGCGGGTGGTTTAAAGCCAAGCTGACGCTTCGCGAGGCCGTAGAAAGGGCCAACCCCGCGCCTTACAAGACTTGCATTCCTGCCCTCACAAGGATTAAACTTCCGCAAAACTCGTTAGAATTTACAGTACCAGTATTTCTCACCAGCCATTCGGAGTCGCTCCTCCCCTTTCTATTAGAAGGGCCCGCACCCACACACATTCTCCTCCTCCGATTGGCCACCTTGGCCACCCTTTCCTACTTTATGACGTGCGCCCTGCAGGGCGGTCGGCGGGCAGAGAGAGAGAGAGAAAGCAAGCAGAAGCAGCCGACTCCTGCATTTGTGCCGTCACAGGAGGGCGTGTCTTGGAAGAGCGCGTGCAGACCTTGCTGCCCTGGAACTCTGGGAGGCTGCAGCGCGTTCTCTCCAAGAACGAGCGAGAGTGGAGGGAGGGAGGGAGGGAGGGAAAAAAGGGAAAGAAATACTTTTTACCTCTTTCTATCTTCGTTTTCCCTCCTTCCTGTCTTTTACCCACCATGCTCCGAGCCTGGACTCTGCGATCCCGCTGCCGTTTGCGCTTCAGGAGCGAGGCTCCTTATTGCTGGCTTTCCCCGGCTTTTTCCTCTCTTGGGCAAAGATGAAGAAGGCAGGGTCGGGAGGTAGGAGAAACTGACCGAGCCCGGCTTCTCCTTCTTCTCCTCCTCCTCCTCCCCTTCTCCAGCTTTTCCCGCTCGACCACCATGAGGGACGAGAAAGAAGCCGCCGCCTCCGTTTCTTTGCACCGCGGGCTCAGCAAACTTCTCAGCCAGCAGCCTTCGCCTCGCGGCTCTGCAGAGCCCAGTCTGGGGAACGGCTACTACGCGAAGCGATGCGCGGCTCCTCTGGCCCGGAGCAGCCTCTTGCTGGACCTTCGGGCGCTCCTCCCAACCGCCCCACGCCGGGCTCTGGCCTGGGGTCTGGGTGTTGCTGCTGCGGCGGCGGCGGCTACCTTGGCGCTCCTGCCGTGCGCCTTGTTCTGGGGAGACCGCCAAAGTAAAGCGGGCTCAGCTGCGAGCAGCCCCGAAGCAACCGGGCTGTTGGCGCCGCTCGGGCTTTGCCGGTGCCTGAGCCCCCTCTTCAGCCTCGCCTGTGCCTTCTTCTTCCTCACCTGCTACCTGGCCCGGGATGAACCCGGCGGCCCCCGGTGGCTTCTGGCGCTGCCGGTTTGTTGCTACGCGGGGGATTTGGTGACGCTGCAGTGTCTCCTGCTGTCCCGCCAGGCCGAAGCCGAGGAAGGCGTCCCTCACCCTCCGCCAGCCGAATTGCAGATGCTGGCGGGGCGGTTGTTGGCCGCGCTTGGCACTGTGGCCGGACTGACCCTTTTGCAGCGCAGCCTCAAACTCCGCAGCAGCCTCCTGGTTTTGGTTTTCTCCAGCCTCGTGTGGTTGGTCTCGCTCACCAGCCTGGGGTCGCTGCCTCTTCCCCTTAGACCGCTGCTGTCCTGCTTCGCCGGGACGGCGGGATGCTTGTGGGCGCTGCTGGGAGGAGAGCGCTGCGTTTTCTCTTCTCGTTCCCCTTCGGCTCCGGGTTTACAGCAGCACCTCCAGGGATCGCATCCGAAGTTGCCCGGCAGCGCCGAGCACAAAGTTCCTGTCATCCGACCCAAGAGGAGATCCAGTTGCGTGTCCTTGGGAGAGACTTCTGCCGCTTACTATGGAGGCTGGAAAACGTCCAGGAGACCTTCGTTGCCTTGCATTTCCAAAGAACAGGTAAGCCTGACTCTGCCAAGAAAAGACCTTAGGCGCTGTGCAGCGTGAGGGGGATGCTTTCTGCATGAGCATCCTTGCAACTCTAATGCAGAACTCTCTTTTCCTGTTAGGCGGTGTGGTGTTCCTTTTCCAGCCAGTGCTTATGGAAATTGTAGGTGTATAATTTGGTCAATGTTATGCAGTCTCCAAAACTGAATGTACCTCACTTGGCTCAAAACCTATATCCTCCAGGAATAAGACACCTTAGCCTGTTGCAAAAATACAAGCTGTCTACTGTACACAGATATTGTGAGGCTGCGTACAGAATGACTTCATGTTATTTCATGTTACGTTACTTTAGTTGATAATTTGCAAAACAACTGCATTCTCTAAGCCAAACTAAACTTTTAAAGGACTTTGTAACTATGCACTATCTGATAGCCTTTATTGCTCAGGGCCAACTTAGTATACATTTTCAAAATGCGGGCTACAGGTTCTCAACAAGAATACAGATTAGGTTAACACTGAGTTGCTGAATGCTTTGAAACTAATTCACTATTACTTTTATCATTCCAAAATAGGCCGAGAAAAGGAGGAGGAATAGTCGTGTAAAGTTTGTTCTGTAATATGTTTTTGGAACTATTCACTAGTACTCAGCAGTGTGACACACACACAGTCAATTTTGTTTTGACAAACAGGAAACAGATAAAAGTGTCATTATTGGAAATGGCAAGAAAGATAAAAGCCTAGGGATAGAACAATGAGAAAGGTGTACCAACTGTGGAAAAACTAGAAAACATTTCTAAAAAAAAGCTCATCAATAGTATTGCTTTCACATTGTACTCAGCCTAATTTGTTAGCAGTAATTGTATTTAGAAGAGATTATAAATGAGCAAAAATTTATCTTGATTGATTCACAACTTACATTATTCATTATAAGGTAGATATATTATCTTACACTGAAAAGATTAAAATTATATTACATTACAACCATCTGAAGTGAATGTTGTCAGTTGCTAGAAAAGCCTCAGACCTAATAGACTTTGATTATGAAAGATTGCATAATTTGAAAACTCACGTTATAAAATCTATTAGCAAATAAAGGAAGCTTCTCTGCAGTTTTGGATGATTTGAATTTATCATGTACCATCATGTTTTTTAAAATTAATTTGTACAATAAGATTGCAATTCTGTGCATATCTACATATGTGTTAAGTTCTAAGGAAAATTGAGTACATATGATTGAACCATACCTTCTCAAGTATCTTCTTCCCTGAACTTTTAAGTATGAAGTTGTATATTACATAGTAGATTCTTGGTTAAATATATTACAATTGAAATAATTAGCTTTGTATTTATATAAGATGGAAGGAAAATACTTACAAGGTACAAAATACTATTGCAACTATTCCTTCTAAGGAACAATATGTTTTCTAGTAGCCATTTTTAAAATAGTTTACTACTAATGATCTTAAATACATAAGCTTATAAATATGCAATGACTGCAAACAATAGAAACCCTTGAGCATAATCACTTAAGATTAGATCATTGCCCTCAGTGAATTTTAATTACCGGTAATATTATCTTTTTATTATTTTGTTTTAAAATATTAATATGAATATTGGCAAATAAATCCATAACTGGTAATGTATCAATTGTCAACTTTTTTAAAAAAAAGTTACCCTTTCCTTATATACTGTAGAAACCGCCATTACAGATTAGTACAGTATTAATTTATATTAATTTACTATTCAAAATTAAGATTAATTTACTATTTAATGTTATAACTACTAAGGTTAATATTTAATGTGGCACTAACATTTCCAAACATTTTGTTTCTTAAAATATTGGGTTTTTTTTATTAATATAGTATAAGAAATGTATAAAAACAATTTGGATTTTATATAAAAACATTTGTTATATTTTATAAAAATATAAAACAATAGATATTCTTTAATTCAGGAAAGTTCTGAAGAAATACAGAAAAAGTAGATTAGGTCATTATTTAGCACATCTTTGTAACTTGAGATGTATTTTTTTGAAAATTAGACAATGATACATCATTAAAACACAGATCAAATAATCCAAGCTGGTAAAAGGTGTGCTATATACAACCGTGAGTGAAACAAATAGGACATTTTGAGTGGTCTGAGTCTAGTAGACACTGTTCTCAGTGAAAGTATTCGTCATTTGCATGAGATTACATATATGAGGCAGCATATTAAGAATAGTTTTGGGTAGGTTCATGATGCCTGAAAAAATGAAATAGTTCACTTCTTATTTTTTGAAACTGGTGTTTCAAAACACCAGTTTCAAAAAAAACATGCATGGGAAGGATATGCAGATTTTAAATAAAATCTGTTTGCATGTTTTTCCAGTACAGTTCATTTTCTAACGTCACACCTGCCATAGCAAAACAGGAAGTACATCTCATTTGTGAATTATACTTCTACTGTTTTATTGCAAACGTATAGTATAGGAAGCTTGAACTGTGATTAAACATTCCTTTTTATGCTTTGTATAATACTAATAGGAATGAGCTGTAGAAACAAGAATTTTGTTTATTAATATTTCATTAGCTAACGTTAAAAGAATTATCAGTTCCAATAATAATCTGCATTATAGCTTTTTAAATCACATTATAGTCTGAAAAAGCCAAGAATCTTATAATAGTCTTATTATGGGTAGCATATATCATTTCGAATGATTCAACAAAATATGGCAGTGAAATTTAGGTTCAAACCATGAGAAACTATTAATTATTATTGAGAAATTCTGTAATTAAAAATTATTTTAAATTGAAATTTCAAGGAAGGCATCTTCCAAGGCATAAATTTAAAAAATACTGTTCAGGTAATAATTATACAACTGGGATTTTATTAAAAACCTGATTCATTCATCTGAACTTGGTAACATCTTCTTTGGAGCAGACTAACATTCCATGTAAACATTCCAGGAAGATAATTGCTACAAAACTGTCAGGAGTAAGGAGCCAAGATACAATGAATTACTCACAGTAGTTTCCTTGTTGCTCTTTGCCCATAGACAGGAATCTTGCCACATTAAAGCACATCTGCATAATTATCAGATTTATTCTGTGAAGGTTTAGGGAGGATCCCTCCTGGGCCTTTTTCTGCACACCAAAAACTCAAAGCTGGTTTGCCTTTTAGCTCTTTGGGAAAGATCGTCTCCTACCTGCAACTCAGTGTCAGATTCCACCACAAAAACACATCTCTTAGGGTCAATTTCTTTTCTTAACTAATTATCCAGAAAGTAAGGGATATAGGCATGAATCTCAGGTTAGCTTTTTCTATTTTACAGGGCGTGGGCATTTTAAAAAGTAGAAACTGTTATGACATACTTCATTCCAAAGATTGAGTTCTTGGACAGTGGTTGCATTATTTTTTTTTACAACTTAGAGAAAAAAGTTTCTGCAAATGTGCGAGCTGTAAAAATTGATATTATTTATGTGGTTAGCAATATCAATTTTTAAAGCTCGCACATTTACACAAACTTTTTGTGTAAATATACAGAAACTTTTTGTGTAAATATACAGAAACTTTTTGTGTAAATAATCCTATCTTATACAATAGTATTCTTTACAGAAGAAAGAAAATGCATTGCAACACTGTAGAAATGAACTGGCATTATCATCTAAATCAGTGCTTCCCAAACCTGGCTAAATTACTCAAAATTGGGTAAAGGTATTTTTTTTCTTTTAATAATGATAGCATGCCATTACTCAATTGTAGTAGGGACATTTAAAGTGACTTAAAAGTGTTTTACCTACCTTTTTTACCTACTTTCTGATAAGCAATTTTGGGTATTGAAGGAAAATGTTTGGGAAGCACTGATTTTATCAGTTGAAGCCTTCTGGGGCAGGAAGGGGGGAGAAATCACAGATTTAATAAATAATTTAATATGCTACATTACTTTTTTAAAATAGGTATTATGTTGAGTACTTTGTGTAACTTTGTATGTGCTGTTGTATTAGAATAGTTATTTCATATTTTATTCCACATTATTTCAGGAAGCAAGTATCTTAAGCCTGATTCCATGAACTTTGAACTGTGATTTATTTGCCCTTTCTCCCTATGTTACAACAAATTAATTTATCAAAATAAAATGCATTGTAGCAAAGTTTGCACCAAGTTATTTGTCTTCTACAGACAGCAAAATGACAACACAATGTCATTATGATATATCATTATAACAATTGTTTCATCCAGTCAACAAGAAATGCACAGATAGTCCCAAAGGTGCTTTTTTTCAAAAGGCAATTGGAATTGCCTCTTTTTTTTTTTTTGAAGATGTTTTGCTTCTCATCCAAGAAGCTTCTTCAGCTCTGACCGGATGATGGGGAAGTGGAAGGTTTTATATTCCTTACAGACAGCTGGCCATTGGCATTCTGTTAGAGAGAGTCATTGAGGCCATTTGGAGGTTTATCTGTGTCCTCAGGGTCACCTGAGTAGTGCAAATGACTCCAAATCATTTGAAGAAAAGAAAAACAAGAAAATCCAGTTGCCTCTTGAAAAAAAAGCACGATTGAGACAACCATGACCTGAATGATTGAGAATCTCCATAGATACGAATGCACAAGTAGTTTTAAACAGCACTGACTTAATAGCTTCAACAGTCCAAAAGAAATTCTGTCAACAAAATATGCTGCATTAATATATTCAATTATTATAGTTATTCTATGCTGCCATGTTTTCTGTAGTTGTTTTTAACCTTTGCAACGTACTTTCCCCTCATAAGTTTCTGCTGCTGTTTTTTCCCATTTAAGCCAATAATTTAAATAAATAAGGATCAAGAAGAAGCTTCTATCCTTATTTGGAGGGGAAAATTGGGCATTTCTGGTCATACAGCTGCTGCTTATTCAAGTTTTGCACATAGAATCAAAGGTTTGCAAGAGAACATATTCAATAAGCATGCATATAAGACTTCCCATAAGTGGGAGCACATGCTTCTCATTCACTGCAATGCTCAGTTATGAGGAAGTGTCTGTGTTTAGTTGAAC